GAGCAGTCCCTGCTGACAGAGGGGAGTGAGATGCAGTACCCTGTGACTACCTGTAGCGGGTCACTTCTGCCTTCTAGTCCTTAAACAGCAGAAGAGCCTACTGCTTGCCTTGCTGGGGTAAACAGCTTGGTTTTGAGCCTGCCAGCTGACTGTTGGCTTAAGTGCCCACACAAGTCATGTGGCAGCTGCTCTGCACCCAGATACTTCCTCAACAAGAGGCATATCTAGCCATAAATCAATGACGTCAGACTTTCATATCAAATGCAGGTATTTTCCTTCTAACCTCTGCCCAAGTCCTGCCTTTCCTGAGCCTTGCCAGGAACCAAACAACCCCTCTAAGGGATTTGAACACCTAGTCAACTGATATGAATCCAAGTACCTCTGTCTAGAGCAAAACCAAGCGACGGGCTTCCCCTCAGCATGTGGGACAGATCTGTCTCGAGGTATGCTTCATTAAGCACTTGGCCTGATGGTTGGAGTACAAATCTCGGCACATCTTGCTGACCTGCAGCCATCCTCCCAGTTGCAGGAGTGACTGAAAGAGTGGATTCCAAGGCCACCTAACAAAGAAGCTGATTTAGTGTGATGAGTAGGTGTCACAGCAAAGGATAAACTTCACAGAAGTCTTGTGGCCACCCTTGGTGTGAGGAGAGAGAAAATCTTGGTGTTTTTTTGTGGGTTTGTGGTTTTTGGTTGTTGGGGTGGTTTTTGGAGGGATGTGGTGCTGGTAGTGGGATGTTCTGTATAATTGAAATAGAGAGTCCCCAGAGTGTGCTCACACAGGTAGTTAACAAAGCATTCAAATCAGAGCTATACCATTTTCTGGGAGTTGATGCTGTTTGTGGGTTGTGGTGGGCTTTTTTGGGTGGGTTTTTTTTGTTTTGTCTCCATGCAGGGAGGATGTCTTTCTGTCAAAATTTCTTTCTTGCACTAAACTGAAAAAATTAACACAAACTGGTTAATGTGGAACATATAGAATCATAGAATCATTTAGGTTGGAAAAGACCT